ATGCGGACCCCTGAAGAGACCACCTTCCGTGTGGACTTCCCTTTGAAAATGATCCATTAAAGCTTATTTTAAAAGTGAACACTCTTTCAGAATGCGGCGGGCTTGCGTCCATTTTCGGATCTGTCTGTCTCATTGAAGTGTTTTGTTTAGATAGCAAAAAGATGTATATTTTGAGGTCTGGAAACCCGCGTATGCCGGAAAGAGAATCTAATACTTAACTGCAACAGTAATTGTTCAGTGAACTACAAGACGAGTTGTGTCCGAACCCTGTTCAAGAGAGCGGAGACACACTGCAGCACCACAGAACTACGGAAGAGGGAGAAAAACCATTTATTCAGAGCGTTCCAGAACAACGGGTATCCAAGGGGTTTTATCAAGAGAAGCTTGAAGAAGAAGAAACCTCAACAACAGCAACAGCAAGAACAGGCTACCAGACAGCTATTCCTTCCTTACATCAAGAATATATCAGAACTCGCAACCAGATTATTGGTTCAAAAAGGAATCTTCGTGGCCAACAAACCAAATGCCACCCCAAGGAAATTAATCTCTAGACCGAAGGACAACCGGGACAAAACCAAGAGGAACAATGTGATATAACAGATCAACTGCAAAAACTGCAACAAATTCTACTTTGGACAAACTGGGAGGAAATTACGCACACGAATAAAGGAACACAACGCGGACGTCGGCGGATATGATCCCTTATACTTTATATCCATACATGAGGACTAAGAAGGCCACAGATTCAATATGGGAAACGTGAAAGCCTTGGCATATAGGAACACGAGGCACGGAAGGGAATTTCTCTGGACATGGTACTCTACGGCTGATTCGGTTAACCGATGTACTGAACTGGACCCAAGTTACGCACTACTATGTGCAAAGTACCAACACCTCCAACGGAATACTCAAGGGAGCCAAATATCGGATTCACAAACCAAGCAGTGAGAAACTGCTTGGAGTAGGATCAACAAAGATCATAATCCGGAACCCAGAGAGGTCAACGACAGAGGTCATTCCAGCATCGATTAGAGCACGAGGTCAGGGAAGGCCGGGCTCACAATTCATTGGTCATCGATCAATCAGAACATGGGATAACAGAACAACCAATGGAAGCGAACAACCAATCGTGATCAAAGGCTAACCCTTGCTAGCAGCATGTATATTAACACACACACACACACACAACACTACTCAAAGCACAACCACCAATCCATCGGTATGTTCCTCTACGCTCCCTAAGAACGTATTGATGATGTCACCTCGGTTGGTGATAGAGCGTCTGCAACCAAATTGCCCAATTCAGTAAAGATATTCGCTGCCTGAGCTATTAACATTCCCCTCTACAGAAATTCACTGTTTTTGAGGGCTGGCGAGCATTGTCAGAGCCAGCGCTCCGTGGGAACAAACGATCGGTAGTCTTACTCGAATTGCACTTGCTTTTGATGTTACAACTGCATACAGCGGTCCGATTCGTTCACCTATAACACTGTTTCGGTATCTAGCTGCCATGCCACCCAAAGGAAGCACGATGGTTGGGATACTGCCAGGTTTCCCAAGCCTACACAGGGGAATTCGAAAGGTAGAGCTTGGGTTCGAACCACGATCGTTCTTATCAGTAAACTAGTGCTCCAACCACTGTGCCATCTCGCTCCCAGTGGTTCGGTAGAACTCCGTAAACCACACTGAGTGGTGCAGTCGTATATAATCGGTGATTCGTATGGATTAAACGGGCCGCGGTCACACTGCTCAAGTGATTTGATCTATCACAATGTGAAGGCAATGATCTTCCATGGCCCAACACAGATCCAATTGTCACTAACAATGGCTCTCCATTTTGTAGGATACTTTTATTGACCAACATTGTTCTTGACTACGTGCATTGCAGTTTGCTCCTCTATATAGAATGGGCCATTTGAAATCATATGACTAAACAAATTTAGCAAGTGAATTCGTGACGCTTATGTTTTTACGGCCTACACGTATGACTCGTCATTGATTGATTGCTTCCCCAGCATCGTCGCCCATCCTGATTCCCACCAAACATTCCGTAAATCACTGACCAATAAGTTCTTTTACCAATTAGCCAACCACGTGACCGCTTTTCTGGGCGCTCCCACCTTCATATTGTTCATCGGAAGATCCAACAAAAAACCTGGTAATACTAAGGTTTCAGCGTATATTCTGGTCACCTTAGTTCAGAACATAATCAACATGAGACATTTCAACCGGGCAACCAATAATTCAACCGCCAAACCCGAGCGGAATCGTTGATTTTCACATAGGATGTCTAATGCTTACTCCTCGATATGAATAAAACCGTTACACCGTCTCTGTTGTCCAAATTCTGGATTCCCTCGACAACCTCTTGTCATTAGCATAAGCGTTGCGAGGATTTGTCTGGTTATAAATATGAACCGCAGTGTCCTGAGGTTGATTCAGGCCAGACTTAGGTGTACTTCGCTCACGAGTTTATCGAGCTGTCTGTCGGAAAGAGCGTTATCGGAAATTTCAGATTCCTGAAAGTAACCACAGAACGCCCGGAACCTATTGGGACCCTAAAACTCCACCAAAATCCCAACAGGAAGGCTGGTAAGCATTCAATCATTCAATCAATTCAGCAAAAGCTGATGAGTGTTCAGGCACACCACAGAAGCATGACTGAATGTGATCAGCGTTCAGGCATTCAATAGAGGCACGATCGTTGTTGATGGGTGCTCACTAAACGCCTACCAGACAGCCTGGATCAATGTCAAAAGTGCCCTTTAAACAGCGCGGGGGCGTTGTAACTTCCGCACTCACACGCGCTCGATTGTTGCAATAAAGCTCTTGTGTTTCTTGTCGGTGAGTTCTTTTCACATCAAAAATGAGCTCATACCCATTATCTCACAATCCAGTCAGGTTCTTTTTTGTCCCAAAACTGGTCCTTTAACTGACAAACAAGATTAGAAACTTTAGTAATCGTTAAAAAAAATCTAGTTGTTAACAAACAACTAAATAAAAAACACCATAAACAAGAGATTCAGCTGGGTTCCAGGTGAGTCAAAACCAAATTGATATGCAAATGAGTGGATTTCCAGAAATTAGTTCAATTTTGGGCTGTCGAAGAGTTTTCGGTAACCTTATGAGTAGTGCATCACGAATATACGTGTATCGCGATATCTCGAGTATCGCGCCGA